ACATGTTATGAAAAAGACGTCTCGGGATACGGGAGCACCGCGACTGGCGCGCTCACCGCCTTCGACAACCGACAGCCAACACCCGCACCTCGCAAAGAAGCAGAAACGCTCCCACTCGGGCTCCAGCGCATCCTCGCCCACACAACCCCGCCCCACCAGTTTGCGCTTCGACGACCGTCGTCCAAAGAGCTCCGGCCGCGTCGCAGACACGCCGCCACCCTCGCCCGGCGGCGAGTCTGGCTCCAATAAAGTCGACACCCAGGGCATCGACGATGAAATCGTGGTCGGTGTCATCGGCCAGCTGCAGAAGACGGGCAACCGACCCCACCTTTTGAAGGAGCTGGCAACCGTTCTGTCGCCCACCATCCCCATAGTAGAGAGGTACGTACCACACCACCGAGACGCAGTGTTCCCCCCCCCCCACTCATGGGTACGCATGCTGACGTGCCACTTATAGTTCCGCCAATCCGGCCGCCATCATCTCGTCCCGCCTGGCCACCTATCTCAAGCGCACCTGGACAGCCCTCTCGAGATGTCCCCTGGATAAGAAGCTTGTGGGTACCCATCCCAAGCGCGTATACTACTTCCTCTCGACCTGCCCGCACCAGCCGATCCCTGCCGACGGAGGCAACGTTCCATCTGCGGCGCGCATCATCTCCCCATCGCTCTCTTCTGCGGCTTCTGAGGAGGAGGAGGATCTGGATGCGCGTTCACGAGCTCGCATGTCGCCATCGCCAGAGCTGGATCTCTCCGACTACGACAGCAACGCCAGCGATCCCTTCTCGAATCAAAGTCACCCACCGACGACGGCGAATATTGCAAACAACCGAAGGGCACAATCACCGCCATTAGAAAAAGATGAACGCGAGTTCACCCAGACTGCCTCCTTCCTCCAGCAACGGCGGAGGAGTCAGGAAGCCGAGCGATCGGCCCGTGCTTCGGCAGAGCCAAGCACAAAGCAGGATGTCGTCATGGACGAAGTCTCCCATTCAATTGAAGAAACGGAGGAGAGTGCGGCACGCAAGAATTCGGAAGCAGCGGCTGCTCTATTTGGTCACTTGGACCACCTCTCCAGTTTCCAGGCAAGCCTTGTACCCAGCAGTCCAGCCGTAAAACCCACGCTTCACATGGAGATGCCTCCCCCTTCGTTGAAGCGCAAACAGCCGAAATTCGAATTGGACGACGAGGAGGATTGGGCCATGAAGAGCCCCGAGAGCATCCATGTCGACGAGCTCGACGACCTTTTCGACGACTGCAATTGACTGGGCCATCTACCAGATTGTACCATTTCTCATCTTCATTGGTATACACTATCTACGACGGTCACGACTTTCTAGGCGTTTAATCATCTCATCTTTCCCTTCCTTATCCGTGTATTATCTCTTCTTTTTTCTTTTTCTCTTTCCGTCGTCCTTGTCTCAAGCCGCAGTCCCATGGACTTTGTTATTTCGTCACTTGCGTTGCATCATATACTCTCGGGAGTTGGGATATCACTACGGAGTTCTAGAGATGTGTGATTGTCTAGGACGGAACTTTGTACGATATTGTAGAGTTTGTGTTCTCCCATGGAGTGTGCGGATTAGTGGCGCAGGGGAATTTTCGGCTGAGGGCACTGGCTGTTGCTCGGCGCAGTAATGAGAGCCCTATGATCCTGGAATCGCGGCCATGAACGGACTTGTAATACTTCGGTAGGGGATGCAAAAGCGCAAGGGAACGGAGAGGTTGGAATCGATCTCCCGGCGATTGCGGCGATATGTGGGATATCCGGGACCCTAGATTAGATAAGAAAACGTCAACCAAATTGAAAAACAATTGATATCAACGACAGCTACAACAACCGACATGTATCTCCAGACTATGGCCTGCACTCTTTGATGGCTCGAGTCAAGTGACAAGACCGCCTATGTACGTATGATGGATCGATAGGTGCTTGCCGCAGTTCCCGCAAAGCAGCTACGAGAGTTCGCGGGCCAGGCCTCACCGCTGCAACGAGATACGAGCTAGGTAGTCCCTTGCCTCCCACGTACCTGTTTCACTCACCGCCCAGTCAAGCCGATGGGCCAGCAAGGATAGACTTCAACGGCCACCTATCCCTTCTGCCGCTACTGTACAGTCGACAGCTACGTGAGCTAGGGTAACAGCTCCTAATGCACAACAGCTCAGCGAAAACTGGGTCGCCCACTGGCCATTTTTCCCTTTCTACCATGTCCGCCCAACTGGTGGTGTGTGTCTGTCTCCACGGATGCTAAGGACGACCGACGGTGGGCGAGTGCGGATGCTTGGCGATTGTGATTCCCGAGCACCCACCAGACCTACCTACCGGCTATGGTACACCATGTAGCGTCTGACTGTGGGAAAGTGTGATCTTGAAGGGAACGTGTGCGCCTCACTTTGGATGACAGCAGACATCTTTCTACAAGGGGTATAAGCGCCCGTCCTTTTTGAACTCATTCTCGATTGAGAAACAAAGTCATCATCTGAAGACCCTCTTGTCACCAAAAAAAAACCTCCATCTGTGTCGTTCGCAGGCACCCTTTTTAATTGTCAATCGCCAGCAAAGACGAAACAGAAGAAAGCAAAGATTAAGAGAGAAAAAAAAAGAGGAAGGTTGGGTGAGCAGAAGCCAGGGTTGATCAGATCGCAAGCGAGTCCAATGAGGTTGGGCTCTCCTCTCTCTTTCCCAGCCTACTTTTTACGATTCAGCCAAAAGAGCCCAACCACGTCGCACGTAAGAGTGCGCGCGCGTGCTAACGCAGAGGTTATAAAGCGACACGTTTCCATTTTCATTGCTTTGTTGCGTATTGGGGACCATCGTACAGCCAGCCATTCGCCCGTGAGTCGGATTATCTGTTGCCCGTCTACCTATCCTGGCCCATTTTCTGGACTGAGAGCACTGCAGGGTGCCGAGGTTGTGGTTGGGAGTGAAGGTAGGCTAGACCGCTTACTCGTGTTGGACGTTGGAGAAGGATTGGGGAATTGTGCAAAAGAGGGAGAGAAAGAGGGGAAATTGTGCAGCGGCTTCACAAGAGTGGTGTGAGGATTGAAAAGAGCTGGAATTCGAGGTCGAGGGGGAAGAAGTTCTTCGTGGGCCTGGATTGGAGTCACAAAGTCGATCGCGCATCTACCCGGACGCGGTGTACCAGCCTTGCTCCACTATCCAGACTTGACAACAGAACGATTGACAGCTCAACGGCACTCACCCAACATCAAGCATTCAACCCTTCCTTCAACTCTCTACCGTTTTGACTGGCGGCAAATCAGCAACGCTGCCTGCAGACGGGTACGGCCGCGTCAACAAGTGGCTCGACCACGTCGACGTAGCCCCTTCTGACTCCGACTCTGACTCGGGCTACGTCCTCTCCGATTCCTCCAGTACATCTGCTGGTTCTCGACCGAGAAGGAGAAGTAGCAAAAAAAGGCAAACTAGCATGTCGATCGCACCTTCAAGAGCCAGGAGTAGGAGTCGTGCGCCGAGCACACGGGCGCCACTGAGCCCTGCGCCGGTCGTAGTGGACATTTCAAGGGGTGGTGCAAAGACGCCTCTTATCATTGATGTGCCGGCACGCCCGAGAAGCAGAAGTGTGGGGAGAAACGGACCGCTTATGGATACGCCGGGACTGAGTGGTGGAAGAGGCATGTTCAAGAGGCTCATCGTAGCTTGTGATGGGACGTGGAACAATTCCGACAATGGAATGAAGAATGGCAGTATCGCGATCCCCAGCAACATTACCCGGATATCAAGAGCTATCAAAAGCAGTCAGCCAAGATGGCGTCCCGCAGATTGTCAACTACCAACAAGGTCTTGGTACAGAAGGAGGGCGTGTGTCCAGAGTCATTGGGGGCGCAACGGGCAAAGGACTGGCAGAGGAAGTCAGAGAATCCTACTCCTTTCTCGCCAACAACTACCACCCTGGCGACGAAATCTTCCTGCTCGGCTTCTCTCGCGGAGCCTTTACAGCGCGCAGTATCGGCGGACTGATTGGCGAAATCGGGCTCCTGACGAAAAAAGGGCTCAACACGCTCCCAGAAGTCTACGAAGACGTGCAAAACAGGCGGAATCCCGATTACCGCCCCAAACACCCAGACGTTCCTTTTCCCCGGAAACCCAGCGCAGGCGACCCCCGCTATGCCGAGGAACTTGAGCGGAGAGGGCTGACCAGGCTCGACATACCCATAAAAGTAATCGCCGTATGGGATACTGTCGGAAGTCTGGGCATCCCGCGAATTGGCATCCTCCAACGCGCAGGCTTGCAAATGAAGCAGTCCCGGGCTACCTCGTTCCACGACACCAAACTCTCCAATTGCATCGAGAATGCGTTTCAGGCGCTTGCCCTGGACGAATCTCGCCCCTCCTTCGCCCCCGCTGTCTGGGAGAAGCCCGAGGGAAACCGGACTACGCTGCGGCAAGTGTGGTTTCCCGGCGCGCATGCGAATGTAGGGGGTGGATACGATGACATGCAGCTCGCGAATATTACGCTGGCGTGGATGATGAGCCAGTTGGAGCCTTTTCTGGATATGCGGGACGAGTACTTGTTTGAGCAGGATGAACTGAATGAGAAGTACTATAAAAAGGAGGAGGGTGCGGTGAGACCGTGGAGTTTTGGCAGGATATACAGTGAGGTCAAGGGGGCAATGGCGCTGGGTGGATCAACAGTAAGTATTCAACATTTCAAGTTCCTCTCAGTCCTAGACGTTGAATACCGCAATGGAATGCGGGAAGTCGGTGGAAGAAGAAGAAGAGGGCAAAAAAAACTTGAACACTGACACAACGACTCAGATCCGCAAGCCAGGCCACTACACCCAAGTCGACCCCTTCACCGGCCGGCAAACTGACCGTCCCCTCCGCCAAACAAACGAATACATCCACCCCTCCGTCCGCACCCGCCACCGCCTCGAAGGCCCCGGCATCCTCGACCGCGGCGCCTACGAATGCCGCGCCCTAACCGACACCTACAAGCTCGTCGTGGACTACGGCCTCAACAACCAACGCGCCTCAGACCCAGAAGTCTACTGGAAAATCAAATGGCGGGACTCCGCCGCCGTCAAAATCCTCCCCGAAGCCCCCCTCTGGCGTCTCGAGCGCGAACTCGCCCGCCGCGACTCCCAAACCCACAACTACATCCAGCGGCC